ATAAACTCAGTTTGACGGCTAGTTTGGCCTTGTTTAGAATATGCATGAGGAAGTCTTATGACACCATTACTCGTTCATTTTTTTTTTTAAAGTCGATTAGAAAAACTTTGAACAAAACAGACTTACTGCTAAAATGCTGAGCATGTATTTCTTTGGGTTGGACGAAACATAAAAAAATTACATTAATTTCACTTAATGCATCCAATGAAACTAAGTATTAATCAAATAGCTGTGATTGGAGCTGCAGAATGAGCGTCGACCATCTTGGAAATCTTGGACAAACCTTGGCGCGATATTGTTAGGACCTCCCCTGAGCTGCCTCCCCTCTTCACTCTCCCCTCTCCCCTCTTTGCACTAATAGTTCTTTTGTGTACAAGAGCATGTTAAGAGGCCAATGAGCCTGGCCTTAATAGGCCACGTTGCCATAGAAACCACAGCACTCTGGATGTCTGACCTTTGACCCAGTTTTTTTACTGGCTGTGAATAAGAGTGCGGGACGACCAAGCAGGTCACAATAGAAGCCCGGCAAACCGAGGGAGTGCCCCTGTCATAGTCACTTAACTTCATTCCTCTATGGGCTAATGGACACTTCAAATGTGCTCGCCATTAGCAGGATGCTATCTCCACCACAGGACCAACAGGCTTCTCTGGCTTGATATAATGTAAACCAAGAGACATGGCATTCAAGGCATGAGTTGAGAGAGGGAAAAGTTCTTCAAGGTTGTATTGCGGCCTGATGATTTCTCTAGAGCGTCTAAATGCAGTTAAAAAAAATACATTTTTTACCACAGTCATAAATCCAGTCTGTCTGGATTTTTATTGTGTCTTTCTCTCTGTAACCTCCTCTAAAATAGCTTTAATTAATAACTTCCTCCCTGACTAATCTACTTACTTCATAGTGGACCGGATAATAGGACATGGTCCCCATTCAGAAAAATTTGCAGTGGCCCAATAGTGCATTGTGGCTCTGACCGGCTGAGCCGCTTGTCGTTTCCCCATCAATTACACACTAATTAGCACAATGACTGCAGAGGTTTGCTTAAGAATTGTCACTGTAATTGCTTCTAATGTTGGCAAACAATGAGCCTTAATGCAAACTCTGAGACAAGGCGGGGACTGCTTATCACATCGTCTTTGTCCCCGAGGCTGTAATTGTGTTTCATGCAAAGATCAGGTTGAGGTGTCAATGGCCCCGCATGAGCAGGTGATATCAGCAGAGCAAACCAGGGAGGGGCTGTTGTGCAGGGGGTCTGACAGGGCTATTGTCTGAGGCTGCTGTTCATATGGGCAGGGGACGGTAATTAACACCTCAGCCAAACAGCAAGCTGTGCGGCCCATTTGTTTTCTGTTGGGGGGTAAAAGAAAACAATTGGGAGGGGTTCTCTACACAGTGGGTGATTGACATTATCTGCTGGAGCGATCCATGGAGGCATTCCTGCTGCTTCACTATTCAACACAAGTTTGGCAATGCCATTACACACGCCTTGTCTGAGCTGCCACTTCATACACGGTCGCTCTTTTATTTGCTGCTGGACTTTGTCTGACTAATTGACTTAAATCAATTCACTAAAACATGAAAGAAAACTTGTTTTGGATTGTAAAAGTGATACATATCTGCTTCTGAGTTCATATGTTTTATATATATCTAAATTTGGGACATTTCTTTATTTTTGCAGAATTCTCTATCATTTTAATTCGGACTTAACTTTTAGTTTGAATGACACTTTTTACGACTTCTCACTGCGGCCCTGGAAGCGGCAGATAGTTGCTAGCAAACTTTTTTCTCCCCCTTTGGCAGCGTGTCTGACTTAGTTTGACAGCAAATGTCCAGACATCTGTCTCTTCTCCGTGCTCTGATGTTGGTCTGCAGTATGGCACCACACACTTCAGAGATGACAAAGACTCTTGGCTGAGTTCTCCTGTGCTCTCTGAGAGCAATGTAACAATTAGAACCCGGCTCTGGCAGGCCACATGCCCCAGAGCATATGTCGCATTCTCTGTGTTCAAAAAACCAAAGGGCTCCAGTGTAGCTTTTTTGGAAAATTTCAGCGGCATCACTGCCACCTTTGTCGCATCTGGGTCCTGTAAAAGTAGCACAATCTACTGAAGTCTATTCTGAGTGTTGGAGGCAGCAGGGAGGGCTGGAAGACAATTAGAGAGGGACGGAAATGGATCAGCTAAACTTCTCTTTGGTTTCTTCAGTACTCGGTCCGAGTGTATTTACTAGAGCCCCCAGCTCCCAGGCTGAAGCAGACATTGCAACAGGCCCGACCATATGTCTGTATTTGTTTCCAATAAAATAAGGGCATGTGTAAAGCATTACAAAATGTCTTGCAGCTACATTGATATTAAACTACCTCCAGTTCAATCTTCTAAAAACATTGAATATGACTTAAGCCATGTCATAACTATTTGAATCTTCGAATTGAAGTACTGGCTCTCATTCAAACTTTTTCCTTAAACTTCCCTTGTTTTTTTTTTCACTGCAACACTGAGAAAGTTTCTGCAGAGCAGCATGGCCAACAATTCCTCGCCTTTTGTTTCCTGAAACACCTCGCAGACCAGAACACCCCCCCCCCCTCTCTCTCTCTCTCTCTCTCTTTCTCTCTCTCTATTTCTCGCTCTCATGTGTTAGCGAGCGTTGTGCTGCTAGCACCTCATGTGACAGTGAGCGGCTGGCATTACCTGGCTGTGTGTTTCAGGAAAGTGTGTGAACAGTTTTTCCACAGGGCACACCGGCAATTAAAAAGAAAAGTAGACGCTCAGAAAAAATAGCGCCTGGGGCTATGTTCCTCCGTCCTGGCAGAAGCTGTCAAAAAAGGGACGGATAGGATGGGAGAGCCGGGGTGGGCACAGCCGGGGCAAGACCAAACGCTCACAATAGCGCTTGTTTCATTTGTGGAAGGACTCATGATTGACACAGATTAGACAGAGAAAACTGCATTGTTTTGGATTTTCTCTCCGGAGAGCAGCATTCATTAGGCACCCTGCACACAGCAGAGGAAAGTTTCAATAGGGAGCTAGCAGCCTCTAAAAGCAACTGCCTCCTGACAGTTGTATGGATTCGGGCCCATTAGTTGGAACCTGCGATTCAGCCCTGAGCAGTATAGTGAAAATGAAGAGGGCTGATGTCAACTCCAAGAATTCCCCCTCTTTTCGAAAGGGAAAAAGGGTCCCCTTCCCCCCTGCCTCGGCGCTCTGTTGGACCCCAGCTGTCAGGAAACAATACCCTCTGCCTGCTCCGACAAACTCATTCCTGAAAATGTTTTTTTTTCCCTCCTTCCCCTCTCCCTTTCCCCCCTCCTACTATAATGTCTTTTCCATTTTTAACCCACAGCCATCCAAGCTTCCTTCCTCCTTACAAACCCAGAGTGATGAATGAAGTTTTAAAAATCACAACCTGAATGCATGACTCCTCCAGTTTGCTTGTTTGTCATCATTTATCCTGCAGCAACTTTTGAATAGCAGACAAGGCTTTGCATATATTCTTTAACTGTGTCTCTCAGTCATTTTTAAAAAAAGTGTCAGGGACTATTTCTTGTCTTTTCCATTAGTCAGATGTTTGCTCTGGGCGGACGTCAGACTGTTTGTACACAGGAATTCATAAGGGCAGCGCTATGTAAATAAAAACCTTAGTATACGCTGTAGAATGATAACAGAGGATGCATGCTAAGACTTTTGCAACAGCCTCTTAAAGGCTGAATTTATAACCCATAACACACTTCCGCACCCAAAAGGCATCTTAAATAAAGAACTACCCAACATGGGGCTGGATGAGCGTAACATAACCTATGGTATAAAACCTTTTTTTAATTAATTTGAAACTGCACCAGGGAGAAAAATCCACATGCATGACAAGCTGCAGTGTCCGGTATTTAAACTGATTCATAAACCAGATGGTCGAGCTGTGCTTTCAGAGCTCTGGCTTCATGCTATCTCCATTGCTTGAGGACAAAAAAAAAAAAAAAACATGCTCAGCTCGTTGTATCAAGCAGTAAATCATTGGAAAAAAAATCCTGCAGTACACAGCTCTAACATGGCACAGCAGCAGTAGGAATATGTTGGAAATCTTTGCAAAGTGTGAGAATAAAAGAGGCTAAACAAACATTTGCACAACCCTTTCTGATAACTTTAATACCTATGTGGAGAAATAGTATATCTAAAAGTGGGAGGGGACTATTTTGCTGGTCAAAAGGCCAAACCAATTGAGACGGACTGACAGGAGTTAGCGTTGAATTTGCTGCTCTGTACATGCAGCTTCCTTCCAGCTGTCTCTTCCCACCCGCTCGACGATGGGCGCCCACAGCTGGCCTCTTGTTTTTCCTTGACAAACGGCAATTTCACAGTCGTCCACCAGTCCGCTGTGTTCACATCGCTCTGCCTGCTCTTCCCTGTGCCAAAACTCACTGTCTGACTCCAGCGGTAATGTGGGTCTCGTACAGGTGTCTGCTGCAGACCTCTGCAGGCTTGACAACGTTCATACCACTGTTACACACTGCAGGAAAAGTTTCAGTCCTCACTGCATAGTAACTGTAAACTTATAGAATCAGAATGAGAGAATTTAAAAATAAGAGTCGGAGTGTCAGTTTTTTATTCTGTGTATTGGACGTTCCCTCCAATGCATTTTGTTAAAACTTTGTATTCATGTATTTGTTTGTTAGGTGGTGGGGTTAATTTCACATAAAACAGACAGAAATATTAAAACCTCTAAATGACCTAAAAATGCAAATGGAACAAAAGGGAGTAAGACTTGTTCTTAATATTATTTTCAATGCTTGCAGCATCAGTGTCAGATGAGTTGATTCACACAAAGCAGACCAGAAATGTCTTTATTAAAATGTTGACAGCAAAGATCTACAGAGAGACTTACATTATATTGGTTTGTCAACAGGGATCGCCATGGTTGACACAAGCCATCACTTCTTTACAATAGCTTTGAGTCTGAATGGTTGTTTTGTCCGTTTTTATCTAAAGATTCTTTATTTTCCTTTCACCCACAGTACCTGCAGATGAAATGGCCTATTCTGGATGTCCCTGGATCTGCAGGATTGAAAGACTCCCGTTCTCCTACACCAGGACATTTAGTAAGTAGATACTGCTGGAAAAACGAATCCATCCGAAAAACATCTCTTTATTACAAGTTCAAGCCAAAAAAAACAAACTGTAATTACATCTTCAAAGCAAACAGTAAGGATCAAATATGGAAGCCGGATTGAATCATGTTTTTTCTTAATTTGTATCAATATTTGAGGTTTGTTGCCTGTATACATTGAAGTTGTATTCATTTAATTTAATGAACATGGCAGAAAGGTTTGAAAAAAACGATTTGTATTTTTGAAGAAGTGAAAGAAGTTATGTCAAATTTCAAAAACACAAAATAAGTTCAATCCTGAGCTTAATCAATTCATTACTGAGAACACCAACAGTGTCCCAGCCTCCCCTTCCTTATTTTGTCACACTAATAGGATGTTTCCTCCCGGCTGTCTCCTACGGGACATTCATCTAATTATCAAACAAATCATGTAAACTTATTGGGGGAAACTGTTTAGTGGAAACTGTATAAGGGCATTAATCAAGAGATCACTATACTGCAGTTATTCACTATAATGAGTTCATTGTGCTCATGTAAATATTCTGGTTCCCATCCATCCATGTACATCTTTTTACCCACACACAGGCCCCGCAGCACCCACAGGCTGAACTGCTGATCAGCATGTCTGTCTTTAGCACTATAACTCAGTCTCTATCGTAAATCTCTCAAGTTTGAACCTCCTCGTCGTTCCTGAACTTTCCCACACAGGTGTGAAGTAGTCATCAGGGTGTCTCACTCCAGTTAGACAATGCGGGGCCTCAGCAGACCTGTTTGGTTTGTGTTTTTTTTTTTTTTGCTGAGGGATGTGTGTGTTCGGGATTGAAAACATTGGACAACATAAATCCCAGAGAGTTAATCTAACATCTCACCTGTTCGATTGTATGAGGGCGCTTTCTGGCCCAGGAAGCCTGCATGTTCAGCAAAAAAAACAAAACACTGTCCCTACACTTCAGTAAAAAAAAGTGCTGTTGTGTCTCAGCTGCTTGACCTTAGATATCCTGGCTAGACGTGCTTTCTGAGCTTGTGGTTGATTCGCTGGATCACATAATCGCAGTGATGCACATGACAACGTCTTCATTGAGTGCAGTCAAAGGGAACTTGTTGTTAAGGGGACTGAGTTTGCTCATGGGAATCCAGGACTGACTTAAGGCTCAATAGAACCAATTAAAGATATTTTATTAGAATAAATGCTGACCTGTCGCTGACCCTGCTGATACAAAGCAGCTACTGTTTGCAGACTTGTTGCAGAAAACTCCCTCGAAGTAATACAGCGAACGTGTTACACTAAAGAGCTGTGAGGCAGAATTGAGAGAAAAGGTCAAAAGAATGAGTGCAATATTAACAGTTGGATTTAAAGGAAATGAAAGCACGTCGACTGAGGTTACGTTTTCTGCTTTCTGTCCGTTCCTTTATTGGTTGCTCCTACTTTTCTTGTGTGTCTGTGCTTTTCTGTTGGTGGTCGGCCCTTATCTCTTTTTTGATATCATCACACCAGAAACGAAGCGGATCAAACCGTATTCTTACAGAAATGTTGTTCTGATAAATAACTTCACTCTGGTTTCCTTAAATATTTCCTTTTTTTTATTTTGAAAGGACTATACTTTACCTGAATGCACTTTAAATCCTTTATATTGGCTCATAAGAACTGGTAAAGGCAATTTACATAGTTGTTAGCACACAAAGACGCTTTTTTGTGTCATGATTTTAAATTAAAATCAACCATGTTACTTTTAAATGGAGAAAAGAGCTGAATTGCACAGCTCTAGTGAAGGCAGGCAAAGTCCAAACACCCCAAATGAAACACCCTTAGATGCAGAAAAAGACTAAGGTTACTTTATTTGGTTGAAGTTACTTTTCCATCTTTGAAAGTTCATTGAGAGTAACAGCTTTCAGTATGTAAACTAAAGGAGGAAGTTGCCATGCTTGATCTGGTGACCTGTGGTAGAGGGTCATTTGATGTGTGCTGGGAAGCTCTAATAGCAGGCACGGTGAACCCTGGTGCACAGAGGATAGAGAGCGAAACACCCTGCTGTGGCCTTACCCCCCACTCTGGGCCAGGAGCCCACATGCCCCTCTGCTGTGCTGCTGCTGACAGGGAGCCAGGCTGATTATGTGCTCATTACTTCAGCCGAGGAGGAGAGAGAGAGAGAGAGAGAGTGGGAGGGGAGCAGCAAGCTGGCTCCCCAGGCCTACAGGCTCCCCAGGTCCCCACACTGCACTAATGAGAGCAGGGGGAGCGGATGGGCACACACGGGGGGCCAGGGATTACTGCCCAGGGCCAAGAGGAGCCACAGAGAGAGAGACCAGAGGACGGGAGACACCAGCAGGGACTCCTGCTGCAGACCCGTGCTCCTGCAGTCATTCTGCACGCATATGTTAAATCTGACAGTGTTGTTTTGTTTTTCTGATAGTCTGGCACGGTTTGGAATATCTGTCAGGTCCTGCTTGTAGCCACATGTATGTCTTATATCTTACATACAATGTCAACTGTGCTTGATGTTAGTTGACTGATTACAGTCTATTCATTCAAAGACCTGCACAGCGAGCAGCTCTGCAGATTAATAGCCTTCCATTAGCGAGCTGCCACTTAAAACAATATTATTTAGATTTTTCTGGAATGATAGCATCTCACATTCCTACATCTAGCTGCAGAGATGATGTAATAGTACAGTGGATAAAAATTGCACTAGTAATTTTGGCAACAAGCTAAGTGCATGTAAAATAAAAATCAGAGTATTGAGCAGGTAGAAAGTAGAACGGTGTCACTGTGCAGATTGGGTCCATAAGGCCTGTATGCTAATCATAGCCCACTCTGGCCTGAGATCCTCAATTATTCAACACACAGGTTTGTTTAACATTCATTAGCTACTGCTTTTTGCTAGTAAGGGTGGTGGTGTGGTGGTGGTGGTGGTGGTGGGAGGACTGGGAAGATGCTTCCTGTGAACGCACCACAACCAACCATATATACACACACAGAACACACACATGTCCACCCCTGTATAAGCTCCAGTGTTCAGAGGTCTGCCTCTTCATGAATTATACATCAAAGAGGCTGCAGGGCCAGGTGATGCAGTACAGGAACCTGTCAGAACATCAGGAGTGACCGAGCTGGACCAGAGAGGAGAGGAGAGGAGAGGAGGGGAGGGGAGGGGAGGGGAGGGTAGGAGAGGAGAGGAGAGGAGACAGGGCAAGAGATAAGAGCTAACTTAAGGGAAATATATTTGAGGAGAGGAAGGGAAAGATAAGAAAAAAGAAAATGCAAGGAAAGCAAATTAAAAGAAATTAATAGAGAGAAAATGAATGGAAGTTCATTTTGTGAAGGTGTCTCTGCTGTTTGAACCTTGTGCTTCACGTGCTCATCTTGAAGGACACAGCGGCTCACACTCATCAACACTCTCTTCATAATGATTGTCAAGGCAGAATTCTTACTTTTTTCATTGAAGACATTCTTTCGTCATTTCTCCCTCAACTCTTATGTGTCGTTATTTTACACTGCCCAGTATGGTTAGTCAGGATCACACCAAGCTGTGACTTTTAAATGAGGTCGAACTGACCGAAGCTACCGTCCATCTGTCACTTACTGATCAGATCAGGGCTCAAATATGTGCTGATGTTCCCTCACAGGTGCAGAAGAAAAGCTCTCTTTGTTTCAGTATTGTGTTTATGACTGGGCTAATCAAGGCGCAGAGGGACCCGGTCCTGTCAGCGTGTCATAAGTCACTTACTCACCAGGCTGTTTAAGTGAATTCAAGTGTTCATGTCTGGAGCAGCATTCCTGACATACCTTTTTGTCCTCCTGCCTGTGCAATCTTCAACTCTCCGATTCCATTCGACAGTTTAAGTCGAGATATTAATCAAACAAAAGGTGAGATGTGAATTGAAAATGTGCTGTTTTCTATTTCTCTCAGTGCGAAACATGTGCTCGCTCTCGACCCATATTCCGTCGACAGACCTTTGACTGGGAGTCCGGTGAGACTTTCTCGTTTTGCATTAGGCAGTGAACAACCGGGATCCATCATGAAATCAAAGGCTTTGAGAGCACTGAACTGAATACTGATCTGAGGTCTGCAGTCCTGCTGGGCCTCTGCAGGAAAGAGATCCTCTTCAGAAATGGTATAAGGAACAAGAGCTTTGATACCGGGCAAACTCTCAAACGGACACATTTAGGATCAAGAAGCGTGTGCGTGATACTATAAAAGATACCAGATAATAATGTTGATTTATTTGTGTCCATTTTCAATTATTTATCAACACTCCAGATCTCAGTGAGATATGACCGTATTTGTGTCCACAAATTGAGACTTTTGCTTTTTTTTCTTATTGACCCCCAGGGACACTAGCTCTGGTAATATGACGCCGCTTTCTGCTTTGTATTATTTCAAGCTAGAATATTACAGCCATTGACCTTTTCAGAGGCGATGACCAGACCTAAAGCTCACGTTGTCTGTGATGAATGGCATACTTTTTGGAGCCGTTGATTTTAAAGACATACGACACGGTCAGTTCCCCTCTCTCTCTCACGTCCGCTTCCTGTTGGCGTTGACAAACAAGGCTTGGATTTCTCAGCATGCCAGGCATTCTTTTCAGCCTGTCTTTCCTGGAGTTTTGAAAGGCCTCTGAGCCTCCCACCCAGAATCACCGAGCATAAAGACACACAAAGCTGCGGGGTTATTCAGTTTGTTCTAAGCTCTCTTCCCCATCGGCTGTTTGCCTAGTAATTCAATTCAGATGTGCAGGATCCAAAAACATGTTTGCTTGAATGAAATCCACCCCTCCACCCACATTGACCAAGGACTGTGCTTTTCTTAGCGCCGTTCCAAGTTGGACAGCCAGACGAGGTGCTGCCACCTCGGCCTTTTTACTCTCAAACCCTCTTTAGAGACAGACATCTTTTCTCTGCACCCTTTCCTGTATTTCTTACCCTTTAAACCTCCTCTTGCTATGTCTAATCTCTCTTAAACCTGCTCTGGGTGTTTTCACTTGCTAGCTGAGAGTTATGCATGGCTGCAGACATGTTTGCAACAAGCCCTTCTATGTTGAGAGCATGATTTCTGTCTGTGGATGGAGATACCATCTGGTTCCAGGTTGCCCCTTATCTGTCCTATCACGTAGATGTTGTTTATATTTAAAACACGGCTCATGTTCCTTGTGGTTTCCTTATTACACTCATGAAACCAGACGTATGAAGCTGTCATGGGCCTCAGGAATATAACCCCCACACATGAGGCGGGGTGAAAGAAGGCATTGATACATGAATGTTTAGTTTAAAGTCATGATTTTACAAAACCACATGTTATATTTGAGAGGTCTGGAGAACTTTTTAGATTTTTGATTTGTTTTATGATGATACAATATGATTTAATTCTCAAATGTTCCCATTAAAAAGAGGAATTTTCTGGATGAATTAGCCATCTTTATTCCTAACGGACAAATTCTGGCAGGTTGGAAAAAGATCAGGATAGTTTTGCACATGTGCAACCTGCAAACTCCATTTTTCTAAATATTCTGGTGCCATAGTCGTAACTAATGCCTTCAAACTTAGAAATATGTTTAGAGCGCAGGATTGGTGTATTCCAGGATATGAATAATTAATAGAGATCATTTTAAATTCTCACTGAAGTGCTTCCCAAAATGTGTTGGCACCCAGGTCTAGAGGTCTCGAGCAGCCCTCACAATATAGGGAAAACTCAGGCATATTGTACACCAAGTCGAACAACAAAGCACAACTCAAATATACATGACATGAGGGACCTGGGATTTCAAACCCAGCAAGTCAACACTATTTCTGCCATGAAGCTTTATCAAAGCCTTTTCTGTGCTGCTGCGTTGAATTGTGTTCTCTGCACATCTTCACACGCTTTGACCTCGTATGCTCCGAGTCTGGATAAACCAAGAGAGCAAAGTGATCTTAATATAGCCATGTTTAACACCGGTAAATATTTTCCTCACTCCATCTGGCATTAGCAGAATCAAAGCGTGCTTTAAACCAGGGAGAACCAATTTGCTAAAGATTTAAAAAGGAGGAAAAGGTTGGACTTCATTTTTTTTTAAGTGGCAGGAAAAGAAGGTAAGATTTGGAACAATTCTGAGCAGCATGAAGCAGGAGAGTGTACAGAAGTCTCAATACAAACCTTGTTCCCGAGCAGACCACATTGGAGAGAGACGAGGGTTGAGGAGGGGGTTGGGTAGGGATATTGAAGAAAGGTTAGCCTAGAGGAACAAGACTCCTTTCTCCCCCCAGCCCCCCCATCCCTTGACCCTCCTATGTGACAAGTCGAGCCAACAAGTGCTCCATTCAACGCGGCAGCCGGGGGAAATGACTACGAGGCTGTGTGAGGCCTAGTGAAAGTAGAGAGCTGGTTGTTATTATTATTATTATTATTATTATTATTATTATTATTATTATTATTATTATTAATAATATTATTGTCTTTACCATCATCATCATAGACACAATTAATCTAAAGCTATAAAGAAAGTCAAGTGTTTATAGTGTCTTATAACATGCCAGTTGAATCCACCTCTGGGTGTCAGACAGAGTGGGTGATGATGTCTCCACTTGTTTATGACTGCTCAGTTTGCCATAGTGTGATTTTGTTTGTTTGTGGCTCGCTGGTGTGACTTTTGGACTCGGTGGCACCGTTGTTTTTCTTGTTGGACTGAACAAACAGTTCTCTCCTCTGCTAAATGGCCGTAATGGTCTTGGCATGTGTCTGCACAGCCTTTTTTAGTGTTGCTTGGTGCTGGTCCAGATTGCATCACAGGGCCGGTCACATGCACAGACTGTGATGTTTACCGTGGAGGGCATTCAGTCATGATGGCCTGTTTACTGCCCTGCATTTCTCCTCTACAATGACCCACATATATCTTGTGCACAGATACATACTTTGATTGATCACTCTGCTTTGAATATTGTAAGATACTTGTTGCACATTGGTCTCTTCCTGCTCATTCATTTATGTTCTTATTATTATTGTTCTTATTATGTTCCTTTTCTTTTTCACCAACAGTCCAATAAAGTCCCCGTGGTGCAGCACGCCCATCACGTGCACCCGCTGACACCCCTCATCACGTACAGCAATGAACACTTCTCCCCCGGCACGCCACCATCACACCTCTCCCCAGAGATCCTCGACCCAAAGACAGGTAAAGATTTAGAGCTGGACTTTACAAAAGCTCTTAAAGTGATATTCAACATGAAAACAGTTATCAGTGCAAAAAATTAAATGGTCAAATGTCAAGTACAACATTCAGGTAATTCAAATAGTAGCCACTTATCACCATGTTAGAAAAAGTATACAAAGGGACACTCACCCGTGAGTTTCACAAGATTTAGAAAAAAAACAAGTGTGGATAAAAATGTGTTTTTTCCTTCTCCCCCTTGTAACATGGTTACTGTTCAAACCAGCAAAAATGAATTAACCATGGCTGCTAAACTAGCTTTGAAACATACACTCATAGCATAGGATTTAAGTATAGCTTGACAATAATAGCAAAGATAACAGCACATCTTTACAGAGCAGTTCCATGTTTTTCTTTGCATGTGTTGAAATGTGCTTCATTTTAAAAGCTGGTTTCCTTTGTCTGTGGCACCCGCAGGTATCCCTCGGACACCTCACCCATCGGAGCTCTCTCCATACTATCCCCTGTCTCCTGGTGCTGTCGGCTCCATCGCACACCCTCTGGGCTGGCTCATGCCACAGTAAGTTAATTTAATTCACAGTTGTCAATTATTATTAACGTTTTTGTTGGAAAAAGAAACAAACAAAAAAGTGCAACCTCACTTGCAGGTAAATTACTTATGTCATCCAATCAGTGTTGTTTTTTTCAGTGAGTGACCTCAGGTAACTGCTTGTTAGATTATAGAAAATAATAATTTTGAATAATCTCAACTTCGGAGTAAAATGTGAAAAGGAGGATATTTTTTTTTATTCTACCAAACTACATGTGTAATGTAAAGGCAAACAAATCCATATAAATCATATACATGTTGACAACACGGTTACACTAGCAGGGGTTTTGAGTTGATGAGTAGAGGATTAGGGCTTGTAGGTTTGCTGTCAGCTGTGTTTGATTCACCTCATACAGCAGCTGTCACTCACTCCGTCTCCCTCTGCCCCCCCTCTCTCCCTCTGTCTCTCAGGCAGGGTCAGCACATGTACTCCATCCCTCCGGGGGGATTCCGTCACCCCTATCCAGCGCTAGCCATGAATGCATCCATGTCCAGGTGAGCGGATTAAGTTCAGTAACACCCTGACTCTCCCAAAGGGTGACACACAATATCTGCTTATTTATGTCATGCTGTAATTCAATTTCTGCTCTTTTCTTGCCTTTTTAAACCCTAGGTGGTTAAGTGAATTGCTTGTATGCAGGTTTAAACTTCTGTTTTTGACATTGATAAACATTTTAGGCATTATTATTATTATTATTTTTACATTTCTGTCAAACATTATCAGGTCATCGACTATAAGCAGTGTCTAAGTCTACCACTCAAAAGTACAGCTTCTTAAATAGAGAGAGCACACTATTAGCATTCAGAACTTTGCTCCTGTCTTTTCTCCCCGAGATAAACTTTTTGTGGTCAGGCCAATGATCTCAGCCCCACACACACACACACACACACATATATACACACACATACACCCTTACACACACACACACACACAGTGCAGAGATGAAAGGGCTGAGAATCGATTAGGCCAAATCAAAGCTCATCTGAACCTACACGTCCCATCAGACTTAACTCTCTCGCCTTCTTTCCAAATAGAAAAGATTTGTAGCGAGCCTTCCGCTGTTGGCATGAGAGGAAATATTCAGAAGGTTCTGTGAGATCAATAGCAGGTGTAGCTCCATCCTGCGACGGACTCTACGACCATATGAACATACGTACCTGATCATAGCTCTTTTTTTTTTTAACTATTCAATGCATCCAATTAAGTGCATTCCAGATATGGCATCAGTTAGAATATTGTCATGGCTAACACCAGGCAATGTAACACACAAAGAAAGCTTCAGTTGGGTAGCACTCCATGTACGGAGGCTGTAGTCCTCCAAAGCTGGAGACCCGTGTTCAAGTCCAAACTCTGGCTCCTTTCCCGCATGACATTACCTCTCTCTCTCTTGCTCTTGCTCTCGAGTTCTTACTCCATCCCCTGTCCTATCTAATTAAAAACCCTAAAATAAATCTTTAAAAAAACAAACAAAAGGAGCTGCTTTATTTCTGACAATTATGTGATTAACAGCCTGAATAAGATATGACTTAAATATTAGAAAAAAAGAGAAGGAAATCTTATAGCAAAAACATGGTTTGGATACATAAGATTCCATTACATGAATGCTGATGGGAGCTTTGTTTATCAAAATGTGGAGCCTGAAATTGTGCCATCACTTCGCATTCAGTTACTCATCAGGGACTAAGCTGGATGTTTACAGATATAGTTGCTTTAGGTTCAATACCAAGGGATTGGTATGGCCCCTCCTTGTTTATACAACATGAATTATTGAGTGTTGTAAAGGAGGAGGGAAAAAAGGCAAATATCCGTTCTAAATTGCAGATGTTTAATCAGACTTTTTGTAGTTCCACTATTTGTTAAAGTTTCAGTTTCTATTCAGTGAGATCAAAACAAGGTATTTTTCTGTCTCAGGACACGCATGGTTGTGTTTGATGGTTAAAACAGTCAGAAGATTTCTGTAAAAAAGTAAACACTTGAGTGTAAAATGAGGTAAAACGGATGACTGGACTCACCTCATGTGAGTACAAGGCCATATTGTGCCTTCTGTCTCATGACAGTGTCTGACATGTTTCAGATTGAGAGTTATTTTCCGTTCACTCCTGTGTGTGATAGAGGCATATGGAGCCTAATTTCCCACATTGTTTATGACAATGCTCCTTTGTATTAATAATTGGAAGTAGAGAGAGAGACACTTTGTGAAGGTGTTCTGTGTGGACGGCCGTCAGAAAGCTCTCCGCGGTCAGGATCGTGGTTAGGAAAGTGGTTTCAGGTGTCACGGCCATGCTATCACCATGGTAACAACACACTCAACTTTTTCTCCAGCCCTGGCTGAATAAAAGAGCTTTTGTAAAAGTCTTTATTTGAACAAAAAGCAAGCATTTCCCTCATTGTACAAGTGTGAATTTAGTCTAGACGGATGCAGCAGGCACGTCGAGTTTTACCCTCAGGGCAAGGCAGGGCAGCTGTGTGCAAAGTTAGTTGAACTTTGTCAGGTTAATAGACGTTCACTGAAAAAACAGACTTTTAAAAGTTGCTTTCTTTTGCTCCCTCAGTTTGGTGTCCAGCCGTTTCTCCCCTCACATGGTGACTCCGCCTCCTCACAGCCTCCACCAGACCGGCATTCCCCATCCTGCTATCGTCTCCCCGGCCATCAAACAGGAGCCCAGCGGTGACAACATAAGCCCCTCAATGCATGCGTAAGAACAACTAAATGGTGTATCAAAATGCGCACAATACTCCTTCTTGTGTGCTGTAATCCACCCTCACTTTTCACACTTTATTAACAGTATTTCATTCTGTGTCCGATTAGCAGGAAATCCCCAGTTCCTCCAAAGAAAGAAGAAGACAGGAGGCCTCATATCAAGAAACCTCTGAATGCTTTCATGCTGTACATGAAGGAGATGAGAGCCAAAGTAGTGGCAGAGTGCACTCTGAAAGAGAGCGCCGCCATCAACCAGATTCTGGGAAGACGGGTAAGTGGCAGTGACACAGATGTGCCTTTGAGTCTACGATACACTCAGATATATGTGTGCATGTGTGCCTAACAATCCTTTGATATCCTCTTTCTGTGTCCACAGTGGCATTCCCTGTCGAGAGAGGAACAAGCCAAATACTACGAGCTAGCCAGAAAAGAGCGGCAATTGCACTCCCAGCTCTATCCAGGATGGTCAGCAAGAGACAACTACGTGAGTAACACTTTTCCATCATCAGCTCTTTTATAAATAAGGAGAGGAAGTGAGTTAAAACTCTCTTGTTCTCTATAGAATCAGCCAAATATGATTGCAACACTTTTTTAAAAAAAAGGGTGTTTTTACTTTCACTTTGTGAAACAATTTTTAACAACATTGTGTTATCTGTGCAGGGAAAGCGGAAAAAGAGGAAGAGAGATAATAAACCCGACTCCAAACCAGAAGGTAAGAGGCCCTTTCCTTTTGACCACTTTTATTTATTTTACAAACTGCTCAAAGAGAGAGAAACTGTTTAAACTACACTGAGAGCTTTATTTTCCTCTGCAAACTTTGGCCCTGCACCTTTATTCTGTTATTTTTATCAACCGTTTTCTGCATGCATTCTTTCCCTAACATACACTTACCAACTTCTTTCCCTGCTTCTGTACTCTGACAAGCAGCTTATGAGGTTCAGTGCTAATAGTGGCAGGTATGTGTGTTGGGTTGCGACAGAGAGAACATGGTAATCCGCCAAAACAAAGAGAGCGTTCCACACTTCAATGCACGTTTTAATGTAGTGTGTCGTGTTTTTTTTTTTTTTTTTGCACCGTGAATGCATACCATCTGAATCTGTCAAACATTCTGTTTCCCTTTCCCTGTTGTACTGTGATTCCAAGTTGATTTTAACACGGTGTGTTTCACAGCTTTCACCACCTTTGTCTTCACTGTTTTAATAATCACTCGCTCACTTCTGTCATCAAGCAGCATTGAGGGACATGAACCAGATTTGTAGCCGGCAGCAGATCCATAATTCAGCTTCTTCTCTTCTCCTTTCAGACTTCTCCATCAGAAGCAAGAAGCAGTGCGTGCAGTACCTGCCCTCGGAGAAGATGTGTGACAGCCCCGCATCGTCTCACGGCAGCATGCTGGACTCTCCAGCCACTCCTTCTGCCGCTCTGGCCTCCCCTGCTGCTCCCGCTGCCACACACTCGGAGCAGGCTCAGCCGCTATCGCTCACCACCAAACCAGAGGGACGCATGCACTATCACTTCTCCCTACCTGGGAAAGCATCTGGATCCACATCCTCCTCTTCCTCCTCCTCCTCCTCCTCATCCCAACCTGCCATATCCATCCCCATTGGTACTTCAGGTAGCCATTCGACTACTCCCATCCTCAGCCGGCCGATCCCCTTCACCTCCCTGCATCACTCCATGCTTTCCCCGCCTTCTCCCTTCCATCAGGCTGCCCTTCACTCCCATCATGCCTTGTTCCAGTCACAGCCGCTCTCCCTGGTTACCAAACAAACCGAATGAATCCGCAAAGGCAATTTTTCTCTCATTTAATGTGCTGTATATTGCTTTTCTTTTACATAGGTATTAGAACAAGTTTTTTTTTTCAAAATAATGAAAAGGAAGAAATATTATTGGTCAATATTTGACTGTCTCCTTTTCTACATCTCTCAATGAAAAACAAAAATGTATTTTTTGTAAAGTTTACTGCAGAACTGGTTTCTTTTTTTTTTTGATGCATTTATCCAATGAACTTCTTGTATAAAAGAACAAATGTACATAACGTTTCTTTATAAAAAAACAAAAAGGAACAAAAACCTTCTTTTTAGCCAACACCCCTAATTAATGTTAGTATTAAGTTGACGTCATAGAAATGGCCAATAATTGCAGCCCGCCTTTCCAATTCACGAGTGTGTGTCCTTCTTTGACATGTTAAATAAACATTTGAATTGTTTCGTAAAAAAAATGTCTCTTTTTGTCCTTTAACCATATATTCATCATTTCACAAGAAAAGGTTTTTTTAACAAGGTGATGTGGTCAAGTTTAATGTTCTCATAATAGTGGCCAAAGTGCAAAACAAAAAGGCTGACTGCCTTTTGTGGGAGTTGGGCAGAAGATTAAATGAGCCCTATAATGTATTACAGCCACACACACACACGCACGCACACGCACGCACGCACGCACGCACACACACACAGAGTAAGTCTACAACACACCTGTCGTTTTGTAAATCTAGAGTTGTGCTTCAGTTCTTAACAGGGATCATTATTATAAAAAACCTTGCTGATGGTGGCAGATTTTAATGTTTAATAAAGCAGAATTAGGCTAACCACAGTGGAAAATGAGCTCCTGATCCAGGGGTAACAAAATGTGAAGCCCAAAATAAACACAAAAATAACAATAGACATATGCTCCTTCTCCGAGTGCAGCGTCCCACAACAATGACAGAAAAGCAGGTCACCCTCGTTCCCGCATGCCGAACCCTGCTCAGGTTCCCTGTTCCTCTCACACTTTTTACTGCATCTTTATTCACTGTTTGGCACGCGGCTTAGGCTTTAATTAACTCAGAGGTAATGGGATGGAGCCCCTGGGACCTCATTAGGCATTTCAATTAGTGAAAAATACACAAGGTAGGTTACAGTTTTTGGTGGCTTTGGAGATGAGGAGTTGTGCCAGGGATGGACCAATTATGTCAGGGCAGGTGGGGGCCCACTGAGCCCCCCCACCCCCCACCACCACCATCAAGTGACTGGGAAATGTTACTTTTCAATTTCCAGTCATTACGTGGATTTTAGCAATTAAAGCTAACTTACAACATCAGTAATACACAATACCAACAGAGAATTCTTTGTTAGTTGACCCTAATCTTGATTTTATATGCCCTGTAATTACTTTGCAATTGATATAAATATCTAGGAATCTACTAAGAATAAACAGAATTCTTTTTTTAATCATTAAAAGTACATTTTCATCTGAGCTGATAAAACAGAACAAGCTCTCTTCCAAACAGGTGAACTAAGGTGTTGATCGACCTGTCCCTTCTTCCCAACCAGGTGACCTTGACTTCTTTGAAAGGCACCTTTGAATAAAATGTATCATTATTATTATTTACAATGTTTAAGAAATCCTTAGCCATAATACTACTTGTTTGTTGATCATTCCTGGCACAAACCACACCTTTCCTGCTGCCACTGCTGCCGAATTGACTGATCGGTCAGAGAAATTACAGGTAACGAGTTGTCAGAAGAGCCAGAAAATCTGCCTCCTCAAGGCCAAACATCTCCAGCAATGTTCAACTCTCCTCAGACAAGAGTCTTATTATAAAACTGAGTCCCCGAGTGACTTCACATGTGCTGCCTGAAGGTGTTTCTTTCATTAAATACACTTCCCTGCCTGGGACTGCTTATTATCTCGCATGAGTGTCATTATATTGAAGGACATCTCATGAAATCAGCAAATTATGACTGATATGACAAAACTGACATTAAATCCATCATTAGCTAAATAACTCTTTGAATAATAAGAAGTATTTGCATTGAGAGGCTCGATTTTTACATTTTAAGCCACGTTTGTAGACTGAATATTTTATTACATGTTAAAGATATCTTTTATTGTCTTGTCTCATGTTTTAGGAAACTAATTTAAGTATTTTCATGTCCAGTTTTATGTGCCTAAATATATATCTTTGTTTAGAGTTAGATGTGGTCTGTCTATCTATCTATCTATCTATCTATCTATCATAAACACTGTGTTATCTTCAAATTCCCATGCTCCCCTCAAAGTGTAATACCTCGCTGTTTATCTCCAATAACGTGTCTGGTTGCTGCTCCACTCAACATCTGCCATGTAAGCACGAGGTCAGATTTAATACATGTTAATTTTTGCTCATTAAATTCTTCCAATCTCTTGCCAAGGTTCTTTTTTGGGCCTTCCTTTGATCTTGAATTTATTCCAGGTTAACCCTTAGGTAGTTCTCAGGCGTAGTAATTCTCCAAGAGCTGTCATGTGATGTGAAAATATAAAAATTTAAATATAAAACCACAGAATAAAACAAAAGTTAAGCCTTAAAAGACACAAGAACACAGGCTGACTCTGATATGTTCAAGTCATTGTGTTTGCCACATTGAGAAGACTATGTCAAACTCAGCAGAAAAGGCTGAACCATGTGTCTTCCATTGACTCATGACCTTATATTCCCATTAATAACAGGATGCATTGTTTCTTCACATGTGGTTTCCCAGTTAAATTAATTGATTGTTTCAGTAACATTCAGTGAGCTTAGCAACACTCAGCTGGGGCCTTTGTGTGGATAGGTATGGCTGCTGTGAGCTTAAGAACCTCCTTAATGTATTATTCATACCTGTTTGACCTTAAAGATGGAAATGCAAATGATGTTCAAGAATGAGAGGGATCATCGGACTTTTCAAATGTCAAATAGCCTGCCACAATTAAGACATATTCATTACAAGAACCCACAGGTGCTCTGCACCCAGCTGAGATGTTAAACACCTCCAATTAACATTTTCATGATTATCTTATCTTGTAACTGCTGCACGTCTGCCACTGTCTCTCCTATGAAACTGTTAAATATTACTTATGATGCTCAGCTGTATATATGGTGACTTTACAATTACTATTTTACTTAATGTTATTATTTTTACATTTGTTTATGCCTTAAAGTAATTTTAGGGTTACTTTGATAATGTACTTGTCACATGTACTTTAACTGGTGTCATGATGTGCTCCTGTCACAGTTTATAAAATTTGCTCTAGATGTCAATACTGCCATCTGCTGATAAGGTGATATACTGACACCACTATCGCATATCCCCATCATACCAGTACATGACCTGCAGGTGGCAGTAATTACACAAATGTATTATCATTCCCCTTCTGTGCTGGATCAACAGGAAAAAATTACCTAGTAAAATTGAACTTTTCAGTAGAAAATTATATCCTTATAAATTGATATCAGACGAGTATACTCAGGGATTTAACAACAGGTGGCTGTATCTCCTTCACACATAGTCGAATCCATCATAATCCTGCCTAAGTAGGCTATTTAATTTTTTACACGTTATTCCTATTTAAAAATAATAATGCAATGGTGAAAGTCAATAGCCTATATAGAGCTCAAGTCAACGGCGTAAAATGTGCGAACATGCACAACTAAAAAAGTCATACAGTGATTAATGGAGGCATTATGCAATGGCAGTTTTTGAAAAGGGGAAGATGATTCTTTATATGCTCCCATTTTGAATAACTCACAGTATGCCCATGTGATGAAACACGGGTGTTTAAATCACTTGAATGACTGGTCACATCGAAGCAGTGAAACAGAGGAAATAGGCTGACTCTAAAAGAAACCCATCAAACTTCAGTATAGGCTACTGATAACATAGCCTAAACAGCCTGCAGTAGGATATCTGAATGTGTGGGAAAATGATTCTTTCTGCTTAACTTTCCAGAGTTTCAGGCATATTTCACAGAATACTTCTTACAACTGAATTTGAATGAATAATAGTTAAATTCAGGGTTGACATTCACTACTTATTTAAACATTTACATTGTTGTTGTTTTCGGAGAAACGTCACATGCCTGTATAAATGCAAAAAAGGGTGTTAGTAGGCTATTTGTCATAGGCCTATGTCAATAGAATATATTTTTTTAAAGGAAAAATGGTGTATTTGTGAGATGTGTAAGGCAGCTGTAATGAAATTACGGTAATTCAGATAGGCCTAAAACTAGATTAAAACATTGAAATTGTTTAGGGGCTAAATCCTGATGAAGTATGGACGGAGGCAGCCGGCGCTTATCAACATTATATCACAGTTGACCGCTAGGTGGCAGTAACATCCCCCCACTGTGTGTGTGTCGTGCACTGCAGAAGAAAAGGAGTTGCTTTGTACACGGAAGCAGAACAGAGATCCTGATGTCAAATCCTCCAACCTGTCGGGTTGTGTTGACAACGCAGATTCAGCCGTCAGCTCAAAGAGGAGACCCGCTCTTAAAAATATCTTGGTGTGTTTTCATCGCCGTGTCGACAAAATGAGGACGTGTTTTCTGATACTATCGTTATTTGCGTGTGGCTGTGTAGTCAGAGGTGAGTGAAGTTTCACGTCGTTTTGCTGCGTTGTCTCCTAATTCTGATAAGCTAATGATTGTCTCCCACATGGTCCCTTCTAGCCAATTAAGCTACTGGGTGTAACAAAGTGACGACAAAGCTTATTGAAAATCAAATATATTCATTTGACATAGGCTATTAGTTTGATAAATAGGGAAAAGTGGCAATACAGGAAATGTTCAAATAGGGGTTTCCTTTATGTGACTAAACACTTTTTGTTAAAAAATAAACTGAGTGTGCTTTAATTAATTAATTTATTTTCTTATCGGGTAAATATGACACTTTCTCCAACAACGTTACACGCAGTCATACGAAACATTAAGAAAAATATTCATTGTAGTTATACTACATTATGTGAGATGTCTCTGTGAACAATAGGGCCTCGTTTACTCTCTGTTTGTCTTCTGAGCTCACATTAAGTGCAGTGTACACATCAGAGTGTGTGTTTATAGAAGCTTAATTACACTGCCAGACAACCAGCCCTCTTTTCCTGCTCTAAGTTTTTATATGTCAACCAGCTTGTCACAGTTTCAGCAAACATGGCCCGAGGTGGGAAAACTCCCAAGTATGAAAACATTAACTTATATCAAAGAAATAAACGAGCGAGGTAATTATTTAGTTAGTAGGCCTACCAGGAACCAACGTGGTTGTCAATAATTAATGTTTTCCCCAAACACATTTTTCAACTATCTTATTAATTAAATCTATAGCTTTTTCAATTTCTAATAGTAATTTTCAGGTTTTTTAATGAAGCCTTGATGGTGGATGTATAAATCTTGGGTATGTGACAATGAATCACATTGGACAGATGTTTATATGCTCAGTGGCCTCTGAAT